GAGCCACCTGAGTCTTGCCTGGAGGCCATGAGGGTCACCAATGATACTGGTGATGCCGTGCCCACTAGCAGGTTGCCCCTCGTTGGCGTTGGTACAGTCTTCTGCCCTGTGAGCATCAAGGGACAAAGCAATGAAGCACGATGCCAGAGGGATGTGGTGTCACATGTGTGGGCAGAAACCCTCCCTGGTGCCACCAAAGAGCACCTCCTTGAATTTACACGCTGCCACCCCCTCATCCTGGTCTGATGTGCTGCTGATGATACGACGCTTTTCCTGACCCTGTAACGCTTGTCCTGACCCTGTAACAAATGCTGTCCTGGCCCACGTGTCCTTCAGGGAGGCTGTTACCCTGATAATGCTCAACCCACCACTACCCACAGGTCCTGCCATGACCACCCACCCCCAGACCCCATTCCTGGTTGGCAGTGCTACACCGCAGGCACTGGGTACTTCCCATCCAAGATGAGAAGGGATGACCCTATGTGATACCCGAGAGGTCACACACACACACAGGGGGCAAACTTCTTTCCTCTGACCCCCGGCCAGGCTCCCCTAACCAGGTTAGCCAGTAACCTGGGCTTCCCCCTTCCCCCAAATCCATTGAAGCAGGCGCCCAGGAGCAGGAGGCAGCTGATGCCGGAGGACGGGAAATGGCACTGGGGAAGTGGGGAGGAGGGGGGGGAGCGGCAGAGAAGTTCCTGAAAGTTTTCTGTCCTGGATAGTTGGAATAAATCTCATTTTCTCTGGTCTCCTTGCTGAGGCGAGGATTGGCTGGGCGCTGCTGCAGCCCGCCCTCCTCCTTCCCACGTCCCCTCCCCGCCAGCTTCGCTCCCTCTCTCCCGTGGCATCGGGGCGTCAGCCTGGGAGAGCCAGCCTTGAGGGGGACAGCCGTGGGAAAAGAGAGGGGGGCATGCCTCCCCTTTCTCCCCCACTCCGCTCTGGGACACAGCACTGGTAACCCTCGAAGAAAGTTACAGGGGCCCACGGGGAGTATCTCCCAACTTTTCAGCCGGAGGACGGGGGAAAAAAATAATAACGCTGGTTCGGAAGAGGTAAATTCTGAAAGTTTTTATTCCTCGGTTTGTAGAGCTGGGGGAGGGCAGGCAGGGTGCAGGTTGGGAGCAGAAGGAAAAGGGTGGAGAGGGTGGACAGAGAGAGGAAAAGCGGGAGGGGTAGCAAGGCAATGGAGACGGGGA